TAGTCAACACCTGTATAAAGTCAACACCTGTATATAGTCAACACCTGCATATAGTCAACACCTGCATATAGTCAACACCTGCATATAGTAAACACCTGCATATAGTAAACACCTGTACAGTCTATATTTTTCTTTATTAACTTGTCGTGTTGGTGACCTGGTCCTGGTTATTGCCTCTACTCTCACCACATTAATATTGATGAAGCAACTGGTGGCGAACTTAATGTCTTGCGTAACAATAACAGTAACCCATCATACACACCTTTAATAATATCTAACCTGGTGAGTTGTATTTTGTTGTATTATCGACAGCTTTACTTACTGTATATACCTAGGTAACTTTATAACCACGGAGGAGATGATAGTGGTCTGAATAAAAACAGTTCAGTAGATAACAATATAACTGGCAACTTATTGTTAAGATAATTTTACCTTCCTCTTGTTTACAGGGAAATTAGAACATCGTGCAGTGACGTGGGTAAATTGTGATCAACTGATGTGTAATAAATGTTTCCTGTGTACAGGTCTTAATGTCAGAAATTTTTGTATTTCTTATGTGTCTTCATAAGTTTACACCAGATAGGGATGCTTTTTTCCTGAAATAAAGCGATTATAATTATCATCATCATCAAGTTATTGGGACAGATCTATAACGAGGTCGTTGATATGAATCTTCTATAAGGAGGTCAAAGGATTACAAATAATATAAAGGTTTAGGAATTGCAGCAACGATGTTTAGGGATTATGGTTCGCTGTATTTATTTATGGTTATTAATATTAGTATTTTTATTTTTTGGTTGTAATTTTTGTTTATTTTTATAAATTAAATATTATTATTATTATTATTATTATTATTATTATTATTATTATTATTATTATTATTATTATATTTTCGCCACCCAGGCCCTGATGTGGGTCAGTGACCTGTGCTCGGGTGGGCTAATCCCCGTATGTCAAGAATGAGGGATTACATTTGCTATATCGGGGTCGTGGGGATGTAACTATTTAATTGGGGTCGTAGTGGTATAACTACTATAACGGGGTCGTGGGGGTACAGCTACTATATCGGGGTCGTGGAGGCACAGCTACTTTTACGAGGTCGTGGTGGTACAGCTACTATAACGAGGTCGTGGTGGTACAACTACTATAACGGGGTCGTGAGAGTACAACTGCAATAACGGGGTCGTATGGATATAACTACTAGAACGGGGGCGTATGAGTACAACTACTAAAACGGGGTCGTGTTAGAACAACTACTATAACGGGGTGGTGGAGGTACACTCGCCACTTCCGTGAATGAATGGGAAATCTGGGTTGTGGTGGCCAGGCGGCGGGGTGGGGGTGACTTTACCTGGACCACACACACACACGTCTTTCTCTCACCTGATTAATCTTTTATTAGCTCAATTATTACAAAATACTATCACTTTCTATCTGACTTGCAAAACAATAAAAAAAAGCTACGAAGGCTGTTGAGGTCAATCCACTTGTTGCTCATACCTTCAGCTGACGGCTGGAGGCGGTATTGGATCCGCCATGTGCGCCTCGAGGCCGGGCGTGAACCTGTTTGGGGTTTCACTGAGTGGCGTTACACAGAATTCAAGTCCACTAAGAATGGTTTGCTGGAGAAGCCGCTAGTCTGGTGTTGTTATAATGGGAGGAACCTAGGAACTCCCTCTTTTTTATAGGTTCACCTCTTTTGTTGTGTATACTGCAGGATAAATTCTTAAAATGTGGGTTATAATGGATAAATAAAGCATAGTATGTTCTCTGCTTTGTTATCAACACGGAAGTTACAGATTTATGATTTAACTGACAGAAACAAATGTTAGGGTGATTAGGAGTTGGTACTGTAAGGTATAGGAAGTAAAGATATTATTTAGACAAGTGATAATCTCATTTACTGGAGGGTATCGAAGCCACTCCCATTGGCAACAACTTCTCGAGCGTGACGGGAGGACCCAGCCGTTAAAGAACAAATATTATCTTTAACATGTAACTCAACAATGAATTTAGGCATCGTGTGATAGTAATCAAGTTTTAATTAATAACACAAAAAATATGTAAAATATGTAAAATTAAATCTTTATGGAAGACTCGCCAATTATAACCGGGAGAACATTTCGACAAGGTCCACTACCTCACAAAATTGGTAACGTTGCTACCGCTGTAATTACCGGGGGAGCGCCACCACTTCGGTAATAATGAGTCACAAGTCTAATTACTGCTATAAAGTTCACATTATTGATAAGAACACCGTGTGAATATGTTAAATCAAATCCCTGGTATTTTGTGTACAGTACAGTACTTGATTTCTGTTCTTCGCCAAAGTGTTTCTCCTTGACAACTTTTTATCTGTTCCGTTATGCTTCAAGGTTTCAATAATATATTTTAGCAGTGAGTTCAACAATTTATTTTTATATTAAGACGTAATATCATTGTGCAGTGTGGGTGAGTCATTGTCCTCTCGCCGCCGTGTTTTCCCTTCTCTACACTACCATTGTACACATGACTTCTTTATGCTCTTATTTCTCTTCTTTAAGCTCTTGTTTTTTCTCTGTTGGTCAAACCTTGTAGGGATCATTGTGTAATTAAACCTAAAAAAGCAAAGGGCACTTGAGAAATAGGTATAACTCTTTCTTGTTATTGTAGGTTAGGTTAGGCTAAAGAATAAGTTAAGTTAGTTGAGGTTAGGTTAAAGATTAAGTTAAGTTAGTTAAGGTTAGATTTGTTAGATTATGTTACGTTAGTTAAAGTTAAGTTAGTGCGGCTAAGTTAGGTTTGTACTGGTGGCTCCTTTTTATAGCACATTTTAGTTTGATAGGAATATATCCCATTGATCCAGGTATACATATAGTGATCCAAATTACCCTATAGTGCACCTACAGTTAATCCTACAGTATGTTTACAAAGGTCAGAAGTCAAAACATACCATCAGTGCTTCTGTAATTCTTCTTTTCGGATCATCCATTTTGTTTTACAGCTGATGTTCTTGTTACCCACTTTATTATTTTTCCCTCTGTCACTTTCAGTTTTCTGCCTATATCCTTCTTCCTCTCTCTCTCTCACTGATCTCTTTTTAGCTCTATCTGTCTATCTTACATAAGAACATAAGAACATAAGAAAATAAGGAGTCTGCAATAGGCCGGTTGGCCTGTGCATGGCAGCTCCTGTCGAGAGTTACTACCACTCTCTATCATCCATGAATCTCTCCAGCCTCCCTTTGAAACTTTCCAGCGTTCCAGCACTTACTACAAAGTTGCTGACCTTGTTCCACTCGTCCACCACCCTATTTGTAAACCAGTCCCTTCCTATCTCCCTCCTAAACCTAAACTTATCCAACTTGAATCCGTTGTTCCGAGTCCTATCCTACTCGGATATTTTAAGAACTTTATCTATATCACCTTTATTGATTTCTTTCACCCACTTGAATACTTCTATCATATCTCCCCGCACTCTTCGTCTTTCTAGGGAATGCAAGTTTAGTTTCTTTAACCTCTCCTGATATGGAAGGCCTCCTTCCCTCTCTTCCTTCCATTTCTCTTTTTTTTCAATTAACTTTTTATCCCCTTCATTCTTTTTTTTTATTTATCCCAATTCTCTCTCTCTCTCTCTCTCTCTCTCTCTCTCTCACCACCTGCCCTCACACTCACAACATAAGAACATAAGAATGGAGGAAACTGCAGCAGGCCTAAGTGCTCATACTGGGCAGTCCCATTTACACCCAACCCCTATTGCTCATATAAGCATCCAATCTATGTTTGAAGCTATCCAGCGTATTCGAGTTAATGATGATATTTGGCAACTTGTTCCACTCGTCCACTACTCTGTTACCAAACCAGTGTTTACCTATTTCGCGCCTAAATCTAAATTTGTCTAACTTGAAACCATTGTTACGAGTTCGCTCCTGGTTGGATAGTTTGAGTACCTTTGTAATGTCCCCTTTGTTCAGCCCTGACTTCCATTTATACACCTCTATCATATCGCCTCTCACTCTACGTCTCTCGAGGGAGCACAAATTAAGATGCTTTAACCTGTCTCTGTACTCAAGATTCCTAATGCCCGGGATTAGCCTTGTCATTCTCCTCTGAATTCTTTCCAAGGATTCTATATCCATTCTGTAATACGGTGACCAGAAGTGAACTGCGTAATCCAAGTGAGGTCTCACAAGCGCAAGATACAGTTTTAGGATGACCTCGCTAGTAATTTAAAGTGGACAGCGAGTCTGAAGGTGATGATGTTGGCTGACCTCTCACGTACTTCCTCACGTACTACCTCCATATCCTCCCCCTCCCCCATCATGTACTGAGGTTGTGTAGAAGAGGAGGGGGAGGGATACTAGAGGAGTAGGAGAAAGAGAAAGAAAAGTTAGAAGACGGACATGGGGGACAAGAGGAGGAAGATGAAGGGTAGATGAGATGGGGAGGAGGAGGAGAAGGAAGAAGGGAGAGTTTGAAGAAAGGGGGAAAGAGGAAGACAGCGAAGAAGGTGTAGGGGTAGGGAAGGGAGTGGGGAGGTAAGGGGTCGGTGTGTGGGAGGGATGGGGTTAGGGAAGCCAGAGGGTGGAAGGGAGAGGTTATACGTCGCTTTCTCCCTGGGTGTGTGTGTGTGTGTGACAGCGTTGGAAAGCCAGGTGGCCCCCTCAGGTAAAATTGATTAACTGTTCAGGTAGTACTTCCTGCCTCCTCTCGCTCTCCTAATTATCTCTTACACACACACGCACACACACACACACACACACACACACACACACACACACACACACACAGGTATCAGTCGCCGTGGGAGAGCCGTTATAGTTGACATTAACTGCACTTGTTATGTGTCATTAATGAAAGAGTCAACATTTCCTTGACAAGTCACGGAGGTTGTTGATCTACTACTAATAATAAAAATAAATTAATGTAAAGTGAGGGTGAACGGTATTTTACATTCAGTGATTGCATTTGCAATAACCACAAAATCAGCAACACAAGTCCTAATCTTATTGACCTTTCCAGACATCGTGATGAGGTGGCGCTGACCTCACGTGACCTCCCTCTCCCTGATCTGACCCTCCCGGCACCACCATGGAGTACGAAAAGGTAAGTTACTGCTATGTTTTTTCCTGAGATTTTTTCGCCGTGTCTTTCTTGTCACCTAAAGAATGAAGTGCGTGTGTGAGTGGGCGACCACGTTATTTTTTGTTTCTCTTATTTCACGAGTTTAATAAATTATAATATATGAAATTGAAATTAGTTCCATCAACGATTAGTGGCACTTGAGTAGGGAACATTTACAAAAAGTGACACTCCCACAAATATTTTATAGCTGCTACACCATATACTGTAATATACTAAATTGTATATCACTTGTGGAAGTGAATTATGACGGTCTAGACACGACTCTAATCCACGACGCTAAGTGGGGAGACGATGCTAACCAAGTTGACGTGAGCTTAATAGTTACTCCTACCCGTTAAAGTTCATCTATCAGACGATACTAGTGAACCACACATTGCTAAACAAATAGACAACGCTAAGCTAAAAGATGGTGTTAGCCTAAGAGACGAACAAACTGAGTATTAGTAGCAGGTGGTGTTAGCGAACAATATTTTATTCTTGGAAATTTTTCGTAGAACAAATTTCCAATGTCAAAACAATCTCACCAATAACAATCCTTTGGGCCAGTTTAGTCTAAGTTTGCATCGTTAACGACATAGATATACTTGAATTATAATATAATGATGAACTTAAAGGTAAACACGTAGTATTACTATAATTCATGCTTGGGTTAGATGGTGATTATTGAAATAATACCAGTTATTTGTATAGCTCTTGGTTTTATTTATTAATATTTTACTGGTATTCGAGTATCAGCAAAGAAGAGTAGCTGGTAGAAATAAACTTAAATATGTGTTTGTTTACAGCTCTGTTCCATTATATTCATAGTGCAGTATGTGCAGGACTCGCCTCTTGCCGTGAGGGAATGTTACGAACACAACCTGATATGTGGCCATGAAAGACAACAGTTAAGAACTTACAAAGACATTTAGCCACATGGGTAACTTAACACCTAGATGAAGCCAAACCTAGGCTATCTTGGTTGGGTCACCAACCATTATAATTAATAATAATGTGTACACAATTTTCTTTCGTAAATGCTTTATTCAGGTAACTCACAGTATTAAACATTTTTTTTACCACATTCTTCAGGAGAGAATTAAAAAGAAGAGGAAAACTCGCAAGGAAACGTTCTTGTATTTCTCATATAATCTTTTTTGCACTATATTTGCCAGATAAATAAGTGAAGGCAGTGTTCCCAGGCTCCAGTGAACATGATTCATTACCAGCTGTGTATTAAGGTGGGAGGTGCCAATGACTCGCACTCGCAATATTTTATAAAGTTCACGCTCCTGTCAGTAGTTGTGCGTCAAGGAAACAGCTTTTTTATGAAAGCTGTTTACTAATTTACTAAACTACGTGCAGTCTATTGAATTATCTAAAACGCTGTGATAAAAAGTTAATTTATAATCCTTAAAAGCAAAAAAATAATACTAATAATTATTATTTCCAAATCGCCAATCATTCACTGTGGTTTCTTGTTGGTTCCAAATCTCCCTGTCTAAGACTACCGTCCATAAACCTTTCTTCTACTGGTTTAATGGAAATCACCACACAAATGGCGACGTGCCCTGTGACGCCAGAGATCAGTTGTATGCACGGAAAGTGGATAGAACCGTACCATGTCCTCACCATTACCAACCAAAATATCTCACTGATGTTCTGGGTGCGTTGACAAATAAAAGAAAGTTCAGGAGAAATTATTTTTATGTTTTCTGTTTTATGGGTGGCAGTAAGGGCATCAGATCTCCGTCGATTATTGCAAGCCTCTTAGTCCAGCAGACCCACCAGCATATTAAACCTGATTTTTTTTAAGTAAGTTGTTATATGGTTGTAACTTATCATTTGGTATTTTTGTTTACGTGAGAGAAGACCAACATCTCTCTTACCAGCGTTCAGTAGCCTACGCAGCTGCACCTGAGTAGAAAAGGGCGATGACTTAATTTTTATACAAGATACGTGTGCCGACAAAACGATTTTCCTTTCTATTTGCTTTTCTACTTTTTGTTTATAATTTCTTCTGTGTGTCTACTTTCACGTTTACGCTATAGGTTTACCATGACGATTTCCGCCGCTTCAGTGTTTAAATAAAGCTGCATCAACAAAACAAATGACTTATCTGACTCTTTGTACACTGAAAGTCAACAGCGTAACTAGGCTATTGTAAGAAAATAAACAGGAAGTAGAATGTTTTCCATGAAAGCACTTGTGTGAATTTATCCATATTGAATTTTTTTTAATTAGGAAAATATATAGAACTTAAAATATATAAACTGCCCTGGACTATGAATTATAATAGGAAAAATGTCATCCACATGCACCTATCATATATTATTTACACATTCATATTATTTTAGTTTCATAGTTTGTCCCATAAAAATTTAGATTGGGATGTGGTCTACACTAAATTTTGCCAGCTACTGATAAATTTGAAGATACACAAAAATATACTTACAATATAACAATATAATGGAGTACAAGATGATGAGGTTTGTGAGCAGAACACATGTTATTGTATCGAACTAATATTTCAAGTAACAGTAAAATAAATGTAAATGTTTATGTATCAAGCTTGCTAAACGGTAATTCCATATCCTACGTTCAGAGACTGTACTAGATCGGAAACCATATAATTCAAGATTCAAAGTGAGAGAGGCAGATACTGTGGTAGACACTGAGAAACACTTACTATACGTAGGAACTAAATTTCAAGATTGTTTGGTTCATATTTGTGAAACATTGAGACCCAACTTATAAATGCCCGTGTCAAACAATACCGGATGCTGGAGTACAATCGACGCAAACTTATAGACTCCGTACTGTCTATTGAAGAGGAAATGGTATCAGTTGTGAAAACACCAATCTCCTCTTGGTAAGAATGGCCATCTCTTTTTTGTACTTATAATACAAGTTCAATTACCGAGGAATCACAAAAATGCTAACGTACAAATTCTACAACAAAGGCAATTTCCATTCAATCAGTGATGAGCTTAATATGGACCGGACGCAACAACTTGATTGTACGTGCAGGCGATCTGGAATATTTTGATAAAGTTAGATAATCTGAGAAATAAATCAATTACACGTACTGTACCGACTTAGATAAACACATTCCGAGCATCAGAAAGAAATACAGATGCTGGCAGAGGTGTACCGAAGCAAGAAACACGGAAGAATGAAGAATACATGAGCCAGAGAAAAATTAAGGAGATTATTACAGGTATGATAAAGGTTCATATGCAGAAAATCCCACAAGTAAAAACTAAAGACACCAAGAATTCTTGAAGTTTATAAAAAATAGTTGAAGTCCATTAGTAATAGCGGATTTAGTGACTGAGGACGATGTGAATGAAACAAATGTGGCTGAGATAGAGCAAGAGAAAACAGGTGTCTTGTTAATATCCGGAAGTACCAATATTTTCACGGAGAAACTTCGAAAAGCCGTCTGACCGCTTAATCATTGTAGAGGAAGATGTCAGACAGTAGGTTGATAAATCCCCGAGTCCTCCTGCGGTATATACCAGAATAATCAAAAGTGCTGTACTGTATAGGCAGACTGTTACTGGTGAACTTTAACACATCGCTCAGAACCGACAACTGCCTGAAGACTGGAAAATTCCGAAGATAACTGTATCATTCACGAAGGAAAGTCGAAAATAGACAATAACTACAGATCTTTCTAAGTTTCAGATGTTTCACTTACAAGACTACATAATCCAAGGGTCTTTTTGGGCCCTTTACGCATTCGGTGACAAGTAGAAGGAGAGTTATGTTACAGCCTGAATGAGATGTCGACTGTCCTTTCTCCTTAGGTCGGCTTTGCTCTGCCTCAGTGGAACGAGACATCGGCCCCAAAGCCGACAACTGTTGCAGATATTGACTATGAGGCAACAGTCACTGAATGCCGCATAGATCTGCGGCTGAACTAACTCAACACAGCTAGGATAGCTACTTATGTATTAGGATATTTAATTTTAAGGTAATAAAATGGCGGCGAAGATGTGGCTATTAGGGGAGGATGGAGGCAAAAAAAAAAAGTAGTAGGAGAGTAATAAGGGCAAGTCCACTAAAAGTCAGCTAATGGAAGCCTGGAAACGTGGAAAGAAATAATGGACGCGGGGAAAGGGGTTAAGCATAACTAATGTTGTTGTTGTTATTACTGCGCTTTAACATCTAATGCCTTCAAGCACGTAACAGGGTTAGTAATTTCACTAGTCCAACAACAATTAAAAATTATGAGAGATAGAATTCTCTTTTTTGTAACTTATATAGACTCCGTGGAAACCTTCGCTCAGGGTCTGTTTATTACACTAGTCAGCTGTGGTGTTGCTGGATGAACACTCTATTGCATCTTATATTTCTTGCTTAACAGAAGACTGAGAAAATCTAAATGGTTTGTGGTCTGACTGGATTTAAATTTTAAATGGTGTGATGCTGACATCCCACAAGGGTTTGTGGCCAACCCAATCCTATTCGTTATATACTGTACATGTTGTATGTCTTGTGCTGTGTACCTTTTGTTGACGTTACGAAGTTCCGACATGTTCACCCTGACCAAGGCCAAATTGAGCTCTAACTTAATCGTACCAACCTTCAGAAATAGTCTGGTAGTTGGGTACTCAGTTTTCACTCAGATAATTGTAAAATGATGACTTGGCAGGTTATGAGCAAGAAACCACAGATTTTATTTGTGAAGAATGAAAAGGAATTTAATTTAAAAAGAGCAGAGAATGAAAACGATCTGGGTGTGGTGGTTGGCTTGGTATTGTCATTTGAAGGCCTTGTAAATGATGGAGTCAACAAGGCGAACTTCCATTACACTCGGTACAAACGTAATGAGCACATTGGAGGTTCCAGGCGTGCTCATTCCAGGTTCGTGTACTACACAATATAGATGCGTGAAGAAATAGATGTTTTTAACCAGATATTAAGATGCTTTTTTGACTTTTTACTTTTATCCTCTTCATCACTGATCGGCTCGT